TGTTTGGTTTATTAAAGGCTGAGCCCTGCTTAGTTTAAGCGTCTCCATTGACTCCCAAGGCACCCACAGGAGTACGGAGAAAAGGCTTACGCCCTCAGATAAGGTAAATTTTAGGAAAAGAATCCGTTGCTGGAATGACAGAGAAAACGCATACAATGAAAACTTGTTACCACAGCAAAGGGAGAGAGAAAATGGGCCAGCGAGAAGGGAAGGGAGAGAGCAGGCTGGATGGGAGACGGCACGGCGGGCTGGCGTGTAATTCGGGGGGGGTAAGAAATGAGGTGGGATTTTCTTTGTCGTTAGGCTTTCATTCACAAAATGAATTTTGAATGGATCATATCCCATTGGCATGCAAAGGTAAATAGACTTTATGAGATCCTTCTGCTCTGGTTGACGATACCATGTTCTGAAATGGCAAAGGCGTATTTTTGTTTGAGAAGTGGATTTGATGGAGTGTGGGTGCTAAACCGTTTGGGATTCTGCTCGCCAGGACATAAAGAGAACTTTTGCTGACCAGGAGGAGGAAAAAATAATAGAGAAGGAGGACGCAATAATAAAATATCTTAAGAAGTATGTGGTTATGGAAGAGTCTGCTCCAACAGAAAAATGCTGGACGTTGCAGCGGTCAGGGAGCAGCTGGAGAGAGCAACAGCCAGCGCCAGCAGAGAGCACCTGGGGACCATGGGAGATGGAGCACGGAGAGGTAAAATCAAGTCAAAAGCAGAGAAGCCGATGCCACTGCGGCTGGCAGTTTGGAGGCATTATTTTGGATTTGCCCTTCTCTTTGGCTATTTTTTTATTTACCCCTAGCCAGAGTCCAGGCATTCAGCTTTACGTACTTGTGTGATCTGCCTTTGCTTGCCTGTTGGTATTCCTGAATAAGACATATACGAGGATGAGACAGGAATGGGGGCTGGGATAAACTGCTTTCGTTTTCCCGTAAAATACCTATTTTAATGCCTTGCAGCCAAAAAAGAAACCCGGTGTCAGGCAAACCGGATTGAGGAAGAAAACGTTAAAGGACAGTATTTTATTGATCAGGTTAAGCTTAACTCTTATCAGGAGAAATAACAACCAGCTTGGCATTGGGCTGCAATTCTGCAGTCTCATGCACCTCTTCACAAACGAGCGCCCAGCGAAACGGCGAAAGGCTGAAGGGTTAGCGCAGGCCATCTGAGCGGATAGGGCTGGCAGAAATTGTTTGCAGGCCTCCGCTGATTCGTTGCCCATCAGTCATTTCGCCTTCCCTAATCAGTGGGAATAGAATTATTAGATTAAGCTACAAATGGTTTAATACCCCTAGATGCAAACTGCAGTCAAGTTATAAAGTATTTTTACCATGTAAATGAAAATAATAAGTGGTAAAAATAGTCCTAATTTTTCTGTAGGTAATAAAAATTTGGGAAATCGTGCTGTCATTAGAAGTCGCTTACAAAGCCGTGACTGCAAACAGTAGCTATATGAGTGAAGTGATTAGTACCTTGCCTGTGCTCCTTATTTGACAGGACCAAAAATACACACTTAAAAATACACTCTTTGAATATAGGTTTCAGTCCTTTAAACTGATGTACAGAAGATGACCCATCCTACATAGATGCTAATTTGAGAGCTGGTTGTTTTTAATTACAGAAGCGGTACACGCTTTGTTTGGGAGTTCATTTGGGGTTTTTTTAATTAAAAAACCCACAAGAATGTTAATACCAGCTTCTGAGGCGTTCTTAGCATGAAATACATAAAAGGCATCCTCTGAGATAGGAAATTCAAAATGAAAGGTGGAAATTCAAAATGAAAGGTGGAAAT